GTTTTTAGAACATCTTCATGTACTGGACGATGAGGTGCCTAGTTGAGCATGCCCCACGCACGTGCTCGTGACTAAGGGTTAAGAATTTAGAATTTCCAGGTGTCAGAGAAACCCCGATCCCTAGAACCCTCCTTTCGAAGCCTAAGGACTGATGCGGGGTTTGAACGGGTTTAGGGTTTAGGGTTTCGGAGTGTCAAACAAACCCCGATCCCTAGAATCTATATCTCCGGAAAGAAGTGTCCTATAGGACCCTTTTTTCCTGGGATGTCCTTTTAATGTCTAAGGACTGATGCCGGGTTTAAAAGGGGTTTATAAGGGTTTAGGGTTTAGGAATTCGGAGTGTCAAAGAAAGCCCGATCCCTAGAACCCTCCTTTCGATGCCTATAAGGACTGATGCCGGCTTTAAAAGGGCTTTATAAGGGTTTAGTGTTTAGGGTTTCGGAGTGTCAAACAAACCACCCTAGAACCCTTCTTTCTGGAGATGTCCTTTCAATGTCTAAGGACTGATCCCGGGTTTCAAAGGGGTTTATAAGGGTTTAGGGTTTAGGGTTTCGGGCTGTCAAACAAACCCCGATCCCTCGAACCCTCCTTTCGATGTCTAAGGACTGATGCCGGGTTTAGGGGTTTATAAGGGCTTAGGGTTTAGGAGTGTCAAGCAAACCCCGAACCCTAGAACCCTCCTTTCCGGAAATGTCAAAGGACTGATGCAGGAAAGGCCCCCTTGGCAGCAGATGTCGCACCTGCTGCTACCAAGCCGCACCAGTGCACGCATGCTTCGAAGTCATTGAGTCTGATCCTTAGGCTTGCTCTGCTACTAGTGATATGAAGGTGCAGAAGCTGACTCCGGAACAGATCGAGCAGATTCTCAACATGACTGAGCCCGGTGAATTGGAGTTGGGAATGAGGAAACGCCTCAACGAAGCCATGAGAAGACGATTCGAAAGTGCTGAAGGACCGCCACTGCACAGCCCTGTTCTTATCCCGAAAGACCCCGAGGCTCGATCTGTGCCAGGACTGAAGCCCGGTCTGTTAGAGAAGTGGAAAGCGACCAAGGATCCGAAAGATAAGTGCATGCCTTAATTATTCCAATAGGATCATGTTAATATCGTCAAGCTTCGTCTGCTGTAGCCACGTCACTGTGCAACTGAGGTTCAGCTTCCTGAAAGCTTTCATTGTGCACAAAGACATGAACGATGTCGAAGTTGAAACCTACTACATCGAGACAACCAGCTGCACTGCATCTTACCGTGTCTAGAGTCTACATTGCATGCAGGGTTACCGGTGAAAGTTGAAACTCAGGAAAGACACTCAGACGAACAAGGAAAATTGGCTTTCGCTTCCACTTTCTGAGCTTCGCAAGCTTTACACTGGAGAAGTTGGGAAGAAATTCCTGGAAGAACAAGTGGTAGCAAAGCAGCGAGGAGTCCCGCACCCGCAGGCCTGCCCTTTCCTATCATGTGCCGTGCACTCACACACATGTCTTGGGGCCGCCGGTTTCAGGATACGAAGAATCCCGAGATGCGAATTTACACTGTCTTTCAAAACTTCAAAGAAGTTTGCCCTTTGGCTTCAAGACACTTGTGTCCCAAAGTCTCAACCCTAAACCCTAAGCCTAAACCTCAACCCTAAACCCCAAGCCTCCTGAAGCCCAGGTGCCAACAAGAAGGAGATCGGCAGCAAGACATCTGCAGTCGCCAAAGTGCCGGGCAACAAGGCTGCTCGGGCAGCCTTTGCTGAGGCTCTGGACGAGAAGGCAGGTGCTTTCGCGAACAAGGACTACGGTGAAGGCACAGAGCTTAAGGGAGGAAAGGGCAAAGGCAAAAGTAACGGTAAGGGAAAAGGCAAAGGAAAGAACCCCAAGGACCCCTTGCTCCTCTCTCTCTCTCTCTCTCTCTCTCTCTCTCTCTCTCTGGATCTGGAATTCTCTGCAATGTCGAGGAAATCACGCCAGAAGAACAGGCACGAAGGGACTTCCAAAAAGATCTACAGCAGAAATTCGGTTGCACTTGGTATGACTGCATGTGTCCTGTTTCTGCAATCGTGTAGACGAGTGGAACTATTGATTCAGGTTGCGAACCCTTGGCGAGAAAGCAACGACGGCGGCTACCAACTTGAAGAGCACGGGGATGAAACGGCAAGAGGCCGTTTAAACTGTGCAGCTAGCGAGCACCCCGTCTGGTTCTTATGAGTACGAAGATATCATGTTCAGGAGGATATCAAGCATATGGGCGAGGTCAACGAGTTCTGCTGGAGGACCCTGAAAGAGCCCCCCGCTACAATGTATTAAGGGATTGGTTTTGCTGGGTGTCTTAATGAGGCTGTCAGGATATAGTGTAGGGTTTACATATCAAGGGTCCTTTACAATAATCTCTGGGCCTGGATATCCGAGGTGCAACGGCATGCTGTTCTCCGCCAAGCCGATCTCTCACGCCAAAGAGTACCTTGAGAGTAAGTCCCAGATGCTGCAGGTGCAAGCACCCGGGTATCAACAAGGATTTAGGAAAGGTTCTGTCATAGCGGCTTATTGTGGGATTCCAGAAGTGTTATAAGTAGGTTTAGAAAGCTCTGAGGTTTATAGGGCTTGAGAGGGTGTCTCGAAAGGTGAACCCTAAACCTGCATCCTTGGATTCCAACCCCAAAGCCCAAACCCTACGCCCTTAACCCTACACGAAAAAACCTTAAACCCCCAACCCTAAACCTTAAACCCCAACCTTACATAGATCCTGATATATAGTAATCTACAACCTTAGGGTTCTACCTGCTGCTCCCGCCAGGAATATACAAATGATGTGATCCATGCCGAGGATATATTCCAAACCTGGGAGCGACGTGTCTCAGCTCCGAATTATGGTATTTTGCACATGTACCTGTAGGGCAAAGCTAACTCATCAGGCAAAGCTGCCGAGAAAAGAAAGGTCGAGAAAGCACAAGAAAAAGAAGAGTTAAAAAGGCAGAAGACCGAAGCCAGCCTCAACCCGGCTGATGAAGAGGAGTGGCCAGAAGAAGAGGCCCAGGAAGAAGCTGAACAGGCTGAAGTATGGGCCGAGGATGGAACTTTAGATGCTGAAGGTGAGAATGATGATGAATGGTGCGAGCCCCCCCAAAAGCGGGCCCGGGCCTGATCCACGCAAATGTTTTCGTGGCACGACAGTGCAGCGAGCACAAGTGCCTCGGCCGGGGCGGCGATCCACCGGACTGCTGGAGTGGGTTTGCAGGGGTGTAATGTAACCGAGCTATTTAATCCTTTTACTCTATAGACTCCTTAACCTTAAGCCTTAAGCTATACACGGGGTGCCCTGCATGCAGCCTGCTATAGAAGCAGTCTCAAAGGGGTTGCCGGTAGCATTTACATGTGTCTGGAAAAGCGACTCGGGGTGCAAAATGATCTGCCCAGCCTTGTCGGGAGCTTGTTGCAATTGTGGCTGCTCGCAGAACCCAACCGTCATGCTGCCGCGATTCGGGATGGGAAGCTTGCAATTTCTTTCTACATAGGAGCCCCAAGTCCCCTACTATGGAACCCTAGCCTAGCGAAACATATGATTTAGTATGTGCCTGAAACCCTGGCCCCTACCCTAATCCTTCAACTTCGAAGGCCTATCGCCCTAAATCCCACCATACCAAACCAAACCCTTAAGGCCTCAAATCTTCACCCCCGTAGCCCGAAACGCAAGAACCAAAGCTCCAAACTCCGAAACCCTACATCCTTTATAAGTCTTCCGTCTGTCACGACAAGCCAATGGCCAGCTCCTCGAGCAGTGCATGGATTACAGGATACATTCAGGACACCGTTCAAGATCTTCTGAATTTCATATCTAAAGGAGATGTGCCTTGGATGCAGTTTAAAAAGCAGTGTGCATTAGGAGTGCTAGCAAGAGAAGTGGTTATAATAGTTGTTGTTGCAGGTCGCCACGAAGAACCTCCTCGTTGCAAGCAGCCCGCACCCTAAAAGTGTTAATTAGCTGTCTGAAACAATGCAGCTTGTTGCTCGGAGCATGATTTCGGATATTTATTTTGTTGTTTCGCATCGCACGAGGTCGCCTCCTTGAACTACCAGAAATGCTGGTGCCGTATCTTGGGCTGCATCCTAATTATTATGAAGGTCAACTCAGAGGTTGGCAACCCATTCCAACTAAGGCCTGATCTCATAGATCTAGCGAGGAAGCTGGATGCAAAGAAGACACAATGGGGACACGTCCCCGTTTTGGAGGCATGGTCGCTGAAACAACCTTGGCGACACTTGATTGCACTAAACCTTGCATCCTATAGAAACATATAAATCGATACAAAAATATATGCTTGCTTCGCTTTTCAGGAAAGGTTCTTCCAGCACCGCACAAGATTTGGGTTCCCTACGTTTGGGCCTCGGCTTTGCTGCACTATGATTTTCGAGTGGGCACATGAGATCAAATCAGGTTAACTCGGATGCAGCTGGCGATGTCGAGTCTGGTTGGTATGAGCACACCATGCTACTCCCTCACGAAGTGATGGGCTGCATCTACGATTTCGACCGTCAGCTATTTCACAAGTTCTTTGGGACACCAGAGGCCATCTGCACGCACAGATTCTTTGGGCATGCTAGGACTCCCGAATGTAGCTTCATGCAATAAGTGTGACAAAGGAGATTCGCGAATACTGCCAGCACATGAGAATGTTCGCTTCGCATTGGTGGTCCAATCACCCAGCTGCTCGGCTTGGTAACTTTATGTTGTGCTTCCAGGTTCGTACTCTAGAGTGAACCCTAAACCCTAAACCCTAAACCCTTAGCTATTCTGAGGCCATGGGCGATGCAGAGGATTTCATTGTACCTGTACGACTGTACGGAGACGGAGCTGAAAGCTACCGAAACTTGCTGCATTATATCGGTTTGTCCGAAGATATTGCTTTGCAAATTCAAGATACGAGAGCTCTAAGGTACTCAGAACTTCGAGATCTTCCTTTTACAATCCGTGCTGGGAGAGGAAACATCTTGCATGAGCACTCGCTTCCTGTTCCCTGGACTATGCATTGAAATAGTTGAGTACGTGTTCTGTCGAAGACTCGCTGGAAGATTCATCTGAGGCTGAGCTGTATGTCTGGCCAATGTACCAATGAAGCAAGACACCTGATTATGAAGACCATCGCCTGGTCGCTCGAAGTTCTCAGCCGCTCGCTGATATAGTCCTAAGAAGGATAAGTGTCAGGTATCCAGTTTGAGTGTTTTTCATGTTTCTATAGGGCTTAGGGTTTAGGGTCTAGGGGGGTGAATCGTGTTTCGGGCCTATACAAGATTGGAGGTCTAATTATAAGGGAAATGCCGAGCCTAGGTCAAGGTATATATCCTTCGGAAGGATTGGATGGCGAGCCATTACTGGCTTCGCAAAGGGCCAAAGCTGGCTGCCGAATCTGCGGGCAGTACACTGTCGTGCTGGATGCTTTCCAAATGGACCAGGAGTTCATCACGAAGTGTTTTGGGCTTCAGAGCTTCTCGACTGCAAGCAACGGCTCATGCACGATGTAGAGATTGGAACTCTGTGCTTGCAATTTCGTGGTGGCTGCTTGTATATATGAGGAAACTACACCCGCAAGATGGCTTGCTTCTACTGTGAGGCAGGGTCTGAACCGCAAGAATAGGGTTTAGGGTTTAGGGTTTAGGGTTTAGGGTTTAGGGTTTAGGGTTTAGGGTTTGCAGGGTCTGAACCGCAAGAACCGTAGATAAACATCGCCAAATATTGTTGTAAATTCAGTCATCCCTGCAGGCCTTGCAATGGATTCTGAAATATCCTGCTAGCGACGACCCGGAGCCAAATGATCCCGAACTGTTGTTTACCACTTTTGGTCGAGCAGCCGGCCACCGCAGCACGAAGCTCGCCATCATTATAGCTGTTGTGAGCTAGAGCCTATAAAGCTTATACCGGGTTCTGAGCCTATAGAGCCTGAAAACCTTATATATACGGTGCTTGCAAATACCGAGGCTGTGTTCTGGAAATAACGAGTTCGTCCGGATCCATGGGCGGTCGCCCTTCGCTGATCTAAGTGGCAACTACTGCCCCTGGCGACTCTTGGCTACACGTCATCAAAGTCCGTTTATTTGTCCCGACACATCTAAAGAAAGCCTAAGGCTTCAAAACACCCATGTAAACCCTAAGTGATCCCATTAATGTTGGCAGTATTATAAGGTATCCTTCCCGATGTCATGCACATCGTTCACTTGGCTTGTTTAGTGGACGTGGTGACATCTATGCTTTTAGACCTCTCGGACACCCAATTCCCCTGGCCGGGCAGTTCCCGAGATAGTCGCCTTGAACACGGATGGCGGGCTTACAAGGGCTATTGTCAAAAATGGGGCATCGTGGACAGAGCCGAGAGGAAGCTCTTCACGAATGAGGCCCTGAAAGCTGATTATGCGACTGTGTCGCAAAAGATCCTGCGAGCTGCTGCGGCCAAATACATGGTGTTTTGGCTTCATGATCTGATGGAAAACCTTCTGCAGACCGGGCCTGAGCAGCCTGAACATCTGAAGTGCCCCAGCCAGCTATAGTAAAGAAGTTTAGGGTTTAGGGTTTAGGGTTTAGGGTTTAGGGGTTAGGGGTTAGGGGTTTAGGGTTTAGGGTTTGTGTTCAACGTAGTGCTTTTCAGAGAAAATAGGATCTAGAGTATACATATACATATACATATATATATATATATATTATAAGTAGCCTGTAAATTTTTGGGTGGTTCTAAACCCCTATACCCTTCCCCCCCACGGATACCGCAATTGTAAGTTATAGCTTTTCACTTTGAAATATCGGGATCGAAATCCAAGCCTAATATCCGAGGCTCATTCTCGGTGTGGTGACTGGGCTCATGCACTTTGAGCAGACTCAGATGCAGAATGGCCGTTACTTCACAGAAGACCAATGCCGCTTTTGCGAGTCTGCTTACTATCTGTATAGGGCCTCTTATGATCGACTGGCTTCAATGGCCTTGGCCCAGGGAAATCCTCGCTGGAAGGTGCGGCCGAAGCAACATATGCTGGAGCACGAAGTGATGGACTTTATGTGTGAGCACAGACTTAATCCTCGCTATAGTGCGAACTATATGGGCGAGGATGCAGTGAGGAGGATCAAGCAGCTGGCAATCGCCAGCCATCCGAATCACTTGAGTCGACACGTCACACTGAAGTGGTCTCTTCAGTTCTCACTCCCATATCGGCTTGCATGAGTGGGGAGGAAAAGCGGCTTTCGCTCAGCATTAATATAAGCCCCCAGCAGCCAGTGAACCTGGAGAACCTCGAACAAAACCATCCGAGTTCAAGGCCCTAAACCATTTAAGTACCCTGAACCCTCTAATAACGACCCCAAACCAAAACGAAGCACCCGGGACCAACCCCTAGTTCAGGGAGTTCAGGGTTGTAACCAGGAAGTTGTGCAGAAAACACAGGGAGATAGAGAGAGATAGAGAGTATAATTATTTTGGCTCAACCTTGGCTCATGAGATGCTAGCTCAACAAAGGCCACGATTCGTCACTATACGGCGGGTTGTCGTTATACGGCTATT